CCAGATCCCAGTCCCTGCTCTCCCTGGCAGTCAGGGCCAGGCTCTCCGCGGGGTTTTTGTGTGAATTCCACTTTTCACATCATTTTCTCCAGCCTCTACATTCGGAGTGGTTCACACCTTCCAGAGGAGGAATTTGTTGTTCCAGGCATTCCAGAGGGAATTGTTTGTATTTGTTTGTAACTCACTGCTGAGCCCCAAACCTCCCCCTCTGGGGCTGCTTTAATCCCAAATTCCTTAAACACGGGGTGAGGAAAGAGTTAAAGCCAACGCTTGGTGTCCACAGCAGGACAAAACCTCCCGATTTATTTATTGCTATTGTTTTCCTGCAGTGCCTCAGTCACATCCAGTGGCTCACAATCCAGTGGGAAAGCTGAGTTCTCACATGCAGGAATGGAGGATTCGTGCTTTTCTTTCCAAATTCCTTTCACAAAACCCCTCTCCCAGTAACTGGATCTTGCCAAGGAGGCCACGTTGTGTTTGCAAAGGGAGGAGAAATATCTTAAAAGTTGATGGTTTTCCTCCACCAAGGAAATTCCATCCCCCCAAACTCCTCAGGAGGCTTTGGCAGGGAGGAATTGGGAAGATTGGACAGCCCAAAGTGGGAAAAGGGTTGAAAACGGAGCAATAATGGGAAACAATGATAAAAAGGGTGGGAAAATATTGGAAAAGTATAAAATCCTGAAATAAAGTATTATGGCGGGGTTGTCAAACAGAGAGAGACATCAGGAATTGTGCCCTGAGGTGATTCCCTGTCCCCAGGGTGATTCCCTGTCCCTGTCCCCAGTGCAGAGCTGGGATCCCGGGGTGATTCCCTGTCCCTGTCCCNTCCCTGTCCCTGTCCCCAGTGCAGAGCTGGGATCCCGGGGTGATTCCCTGTCCCTGTCCCTGTCCCCAGTGCAGAGCTGCAGCGTGCGGTGCATGAACGGGGGCAGCTGCTCCGAGGAATCCTGCCTGTGCCAGAAGGGATTCACTGGGACCTACTGTGGGCAGCGTGAGTGATGGGAATTTGGGATGGGAACTGGGAATTTGGGATGGGAATTGGGACTGGGGATGGGAACAGGAATGGGTCCTGCCTGTGTCAGAAGGGATTCACTGGGACCTACTGTGGGCAGTGTGAGTGATGGGAATAGGGATGGGAATTTGGGATGGGAATTGGGAATTAGGAATGGGAATGGGAACAGGTCCTGCCTGTACCAGAAGGGATTCACTGTGACACACTGCAGGCAGTGTGAGTAATGGGAATGGGGAATTGGGGATGGGAATGGGAATGAGAATGGGAATGGGAACAGGAATGGGTCCTGCCTGTGCCAGAAGGGATTCACTGGGACCTACTGCAGGCAGTGTGAGTGATGGGGATGGGAATGGGAATGGGAATAGGAATGGGAATGAGAATGGGAACGGGAATGGGAACAGGAATGGGTCCTGCCTGTGCCAGAAGGGATTCACTGGGACCTACTGCAGGCAGTGTGAGTGATGGGGATGGGAATTGGGAATGGGAATGGGAAAGGGCACCCGGGACACTCCAACATCAGCTCCGTGTTCTCCTTCCCCCGGAATCTCAGCCCTCTCTCCTCCCCAAAAGTTCAGCCGGAGGCTCCAGATGGAAAATTTCACTCTGAGCAGCAAAAGCTTGGGAAAATTCTCAGGAGCAGCAGCCGGGGCTGGGACGTGCAGCCCTCACTGTGAAACGTGCTGCTCCCAGCCTGGCAGGACATCCTGGGAATGCTGAACCCCCCTGGGCCTGTCCCAGCCTGGCAGGACATCCTGGGAATGCTGAACCCCCCTGGGCCTGTCCCAGCCTGGATTCTGGGATCAGAGCTGGGCACTGAGAGGGGTCAGGGCAGGGCAGGATCTTTGGATCCTTCCCCCTCTGGACATTCCATTCATCCCTGATTTCAACCAGGAAACTTCCTTTGGCTCCAACCCTGGGTGCAGGGTTTGAACTCAGGGTAGCAGGACTAAGTCTAAGCCAGGAATATTTTAAGGCAGGAATATTTTAAGGCAGGAATGTTTTAAACCAGTGACTATTTTAGGTCAGGGAACACCCAGGTGCTGCTCAGACCTCAGTTCCTTGCTCTGGGCACGTGGGATCCCATCCCTGCCCCATTCCCATTTCCCTTTGTGCATTTTCCTCTTTGCATCCACTCATCCCAACCCTGCCTTAAATCCCAACGCTCACCTGAGGGAACTGAGATTCCAGAGGGCAGGAAATCCTTTGCAGAAAGGGGCTCAGGCAGGGACAGCGAGCGAATTTTCCCCAAGGAAAAAGAATAAAAATCCCAATTTCTCCACGCTCCGGGCGGGAGAACACGGGGCTGATATTCCAATGTCAACCCCAAGCTCTTGGGGGGGTTCTGCAGGAGAGGGAATTCTGATGGAATTTTGGGGTTTTCCCCGCAGCTGTGTGTGAGAACGGCTGCCAGAACGGGGGCAGGTGCATCGGCCCCAACCGCTGCGCCTGCGTCTACGGCTTCACCGGGCCCCAGTGCGAGAGAGGTGAGGGCAAAAAATCACCAAATCACATCAAAATCACACCAAATCACACCGAATCACACTGAATCAATCACACCAAATCACACCAAATCACACTGAATCACACTGAATCAATCACACTGAATCACACCAAATCACACTGATTCACAGTAAATCACACCGAATCACACTAAATCTCACATTCCCTGAAATCCCCCATTCCCTGAAATCCCCCATTCCCTGCAATCCCAAAAAATCTCACATTCTTTGCAGTCCCACAAAATCCTACATTCCCTGCAGACCCATATCCCCTGCAATTCCACAAAATCTCCCATTCCCTGCAGTCCCCCATTCCCTGAAATCCCACATCCCCTGCAATCCCAAAAAATCTCACATCCCCTGCAATCCCAAAAAATCTCACATTCCCTGCAGTCCCATATCCTCTGCAGTTCCCCATTCCCTGCAATCCCAAAAAAATCTCACATTCCCTGCAGTCCCATATCCTCTGCAGTCCCCCATTCCCTGCAATCCCAAAAAAATCTCACATTCTTTGCAGTCCCACAAAATCCCCCATTCCCTGCAATCCCACGTTCTCTGCAGTCCCACATTCCCTGCAATGTCCCATTCCCTGCAATCCCAAAAAATCTCACATTCCCTGCAATCCCACATCCTCTGCAGTCCCCCATTCCCTGAAATCCCCCATTCCCTGCAATCCCAAAAAATCCCCCATTCCCTTCAATCCCCCATTCCCTGCAATTCCCTGCAAACCCCGTGGCCTGGCTGAATCCAGGCTGGATTTCACTCTCTGGGGTTCAGGTCTGGAAATTCTGGATTTTGTTGGATTTTGCTGTTGCCCCGAGCTCTCTGTGGGATTCCCCCATGGGATGAGAATTCCCTGGGATTTTTTTTTTTTTTCCCCTCTGGCTCCTATGGACACTCCCAGCTCCCAGAGGATTTTTGGGATCCGAAATGAAACCGAAACACGGAGCTGCTGTTGGAGCTCCCAGATCTGAGACCAGAACACCTGGAAATATTCCTGATTTTTCCATCCCCTGGCTCTCCTAGGGCTGAGCTCGTTCTGTGTCACCCCATTCCCAAAGTTTGGGCTGCTCTTGCTTTTCCTGGGATTTTTCCACGAGGTTCAGAGGGTGAGACAGGAAGGGCAGAAGGAATCCACCCAAATTCCACGGGGATGTGCAACATTCCCGGGGCTCCAAAAGCATCTCCTGCCCTTCGGGGTGCAGCTGAGCCCCAGCTCAAACTCTGCTGAAGAAGGAAAAATTCTGGAAAAGCCTCCCCACATCCACTGGAGTGACCTTGCTTTGCTCCTCCTTTGTAAAATCTGGGAATTTGGGTAGAAAAGGAACCCAAAACCATCCAGGGACACCTTCCACTATCCCAGGCTGCTCCAGCCTGGCTTTGGATGCTTCCAGGGATGGGACACCCCCAATTTTTTTTTGGACAATTCTCCTGTTCTGCAGCAGTTAGAGATTCTTTAAACCCTCTCCTCGCCTTTTTCCAGCACACAGGAATTGTTTTAGTTATGGGAAGTGAGGATTTCTCCCTGGAGGGTTCTGCCCTGTGAGATTTTTTTTCCCCCAAATCCAAATTCCAGAGCTTGGTGAGCTCCTCCTTGGGGACCTGAAAAAAATTCCCAAATCCACCCCCCCAGACATTGACCGTGTGTGAGCAGAGAGAGCTGGAAATTCCTGCAAGAAACTTCTGGAAAAGGCTGGAAAATCCAAATGTCCTCTCTCTGTGTGTGTGAGCAAAGAGGGGAAAGAGGCAGGGCCAGACTTTGTATGAAATTCTTTATTTTAGGAGGAGAATTTGCACGAAGCCTGCAGAGGTTTGGGCTGAGCCCAGACATTTTGTGAGAGACAAAAACAAATCCTGCAGCTGTGTCCACACGGCTCCTCCCTGCCAAGGCAAACACGGGGGCGAGCTCGGGGGGGGGGATGGCGACCAGGTGAGAGAGCCTGGGGGGGATGGGATTGAAGGGGAAAATGGGAAAAAGGCAGAGGAAAACAGGGAAAAGCAGGGGAAAGAACCCGGGAAAAGCAGGGGAAAACAGGAAAAACCGGGAAAATCGGAAAACCATGGAAAAGGAAGGAAGAGCAGGGAAAAATTAGGGAAAAGCAGGGAAAACCAAGGAAAAGGGGGGAAAAGCAGGGAAAATCAAGAAAAAACAAGGAAAATCAGGGAAAACCGGGAAGACCAAGGAAAAGCAGGGAAGACTAGGGAAAAGAAGGGAAAACTAGGGAAGACCAGGAAAAAGCAGAGAAAATCAGGAAAAAGCAAGGAAAACCAAGGAAAACCAGGAAAAAGAAGGGAAAATCAGGGAAAAGGAGGAAAAACCAGGAAAACCAAGGAAAATCAGAGAAAATCAGGGAAAACCAAGGAAAATCAGGAAAAAGCAGGGAAAATCAGGGAAAACCAAGGAAAATCAGGAAAAAGCAGGGAAAATCAGGAAAAAGCAAGGAAAACCAAGGAAAATCAGGGAAAAGCAGGGAAAATCAGGAAAAAGCAAGGAAAATCAGGAAAAAGAAGGGAAAATCAGGGAAAAGAAGGAAAAATCAGGGAAAACCAAGGAAAATCAGGAAAAAGCAGGGAAAAT